ATTCAGCCCAGATATGTCTGAAAGAAGGCCACGGGTGATCGCAGTGCGGACACGGGTTCCCCGACTGGCGTCTCGTTTCTGATGATACTGCACCTGAAAGAAATATGATGAGCAACTTCTTCTTGGCATCATCTAGGCCTCTGGCACACTTAGAATCATACGGATGTGAAGGAACCTCAATATCCACGGACCCGATTTCTTCAGCATCCCTCCTCTTTGAATTGACTTGCTGGAGACACCTCAGGCGGGCAACCTGCCGAAGGGCATGTTCAGCTCGTCGCTGGAAGCGTTTGTCCTGATTTCTGCGAGTCCAAAATCTTGTCGTCTGAGGAGCACACAAACTTCGCACTGCATCCAGGACACGATGATCATCACGGGGGTCACACTCAAGTAAAACTCCTTGCTGCTCTGAATATCTGATAAGAGTGAGGCCGAGGATCGCAGCGTGTGCGCTCAGCGAGTGCTCCAGAAACTCCGACCACTCCAGGGACTCATCCATCTCTTGGAAAGCATATAACGCTGCACCATATCTGGGATGAAGGTGTATTCTTTGGGCCCACCATCGGCCATGACACCACCACTTCGTGGACGTCCTGATGATAGCCCTATGCAGAAGCCGAGGTACGTCATCAGGAACCGGTGCAACCACAGGAGCCGCCCAGTACCATAACGGTCGTATGTAGGAAACAGCCAGGCGCTCACGAACATCTGAACCACCCGGAATGGACTTCAGCGTCTCGATGGCCTGGTAAACTTTCTGCCATCCCTTCCTTGGTAGGATCGGGTACTCTGGATCAGCTGGGCGACACTTCAACCCCAAATGTTCAACGACACGTGGTGGATCATCATCTCGGCTCCAACGTTGACGTTTGCTCTGGTTCTCGGCGAACCCCACACCTTGATCAAACTTGGTCGTGTAATAAAGCTCCCCATCGACGATGGCACTCGTAGCATTTGTCAAGCTACGATCGTCCATGTAGGCCATTCCACCACTGGGCTGCCACGGCACAAGGCAGGCACACATTCCAGCAGGAGCAACTGCATCCCCCTGCGGCAATCCACGTATAACATAAATAGGGCTCGTCATCTCGCCTGCGACACACAGATGTCGTGGGCCACGCCAGGCCGCGAGGGCGGTGAAGACGACGCTGTGCGGAACTTCCTCACGAAGAAGAGCCTCCACTCCGATCTCATGATCGATATTGTCATAAGCACGGGACAAATCCATCTCAGCCCCAGCCTCGGAATTTGACACCTCAGCAAGCCACTTGGCGATGGCTTTGACACAAGAGATTCCACGCTTGCACGCCCATTGATTGGACGTGGGAGTTGGTAAGGAAGTCGCCAACGCAGACATCCAACATCTCAAAAGTAAAGATCCAACTGAAATTGGCCGAAGATCAATCTCACTTTTTGGGATACCGACCACCCTCCAACCGAACACCATATCACTGAAATTCTGTGGAAGATGACCCTGACGTTCGACAGCCCAGAGCGATGTCTGACACCGCAGCTCGTGTAGCTCCAGGATCAGCTCAGGGAACAACTTTCGTACAGCCCGCAATTCATGTGCTCCCCACCCGTCAAGGCCAGCAGCACCTTTTGCATGTGCTATGATGTGATCCACTGTCTCAATTGAGGGCAACCAATCAACTGGCCTGTCTGACTTTGGAAACTCAACATTGTCTGCATATCCTTTCCAAGCACGCAAGTGTTGATGAGCACGATCAGGAGGACCATCTGGGCACCACTGTCGTTGCCAATCATCTCGCATTTCCTTAGCCCCGAAGGGCGGTGCTGGTGCTGACTGCCGAAAGATCGGAGTCGTCAGCTTGTAGAGATCCCTCGACCACGTCGCGAATCTCTTTTTCCACTCCTTTGACTTCTGCAGCTGCATCACTTTGTTCTCCTTCGCGATGGCAGCGGAGACAATCTCGAGCGCGTCCGCATACGTTGGGAGGCCGTCCTTCGGGCACAGGATACCGTCCATGCCCGCCTGGCCGAACTGCTGCAGGTGCTTGCCACTGAGTACCTCGTCGGGCGTGTGCTCACCACCTGCACGTATGTAGTTAGAATACCGTCGGTGAAGCCGTAGTAGCCTCCTCAACGCTATCGTCTGCTCTGGTCGGTGCACGGATCCAGTCCCAACTGGGCGCGTGGAGGGCGCCGATCCCTTCGGCCTCTCGGCCTGCCTGTTCATGATGACGAGGTCGTGCTCCACTGCAAGGTGTAGCCCAAGCTCTGCACGTCGATGCCAGCGCTGCCAAGCTTCATACAGAGAGGGAGGGCCCATCTGCTGGTGCTGGTCGCGCTGGTCAAGTTCATCTTGAAGCTGCTGACACTCTTCCTCTGGCGGCACTCGCTGGAGGACATGCGGCACTCGCTGGAGGACATAGTCAGCTGTATGATGGAGTCGTACCATGGCCCTGGTCCACAGGGGAACTTGAATACGATATCTGACAAGCCCATGGTGCGGGATGCCAGGGAGTAACTTCATGCCCTCGCACTGCGGAGGCTGAGCTGCAAGACTACCAAAGAAAATCGCTCTCGTAGGCGTCGTCGCAACTGCTGTTGTTGGAACTGTCTGCTGTGCCATCTGGAAGCCTGGTCCCAACAGGTGCTGGTGCGCATTCCTCCAGTTGGGGTCCCCGAAGATGAAGATGGGGTGGCCATCAATGCCTAGGCATTGAACATACTGCAAGAAGTGAGAGAACCACGGCATGCTGAACTCCTGCGGCGCATAGACCGAGAGGTAGGTCGCCACCGCTGTGCGTATGCCCACCATGCGGTGGGAGAGGGTGTCGTCCCGCATGACTGTAGCTCGCCCCACACGTCGTCGCCACAGGATAGCTGTCCCACCCTGCATCACGGCAACCCGAGATCCACTCGGTGGTGGGGTCAAGCAAGCACGCGAAAACCCCGCTTTCTTCGCAATATTGATAATCCAACGTGGGTGGGTAGACTGTTGACGTATCTCCTGAAGCGCAATAATATTGACATCATCATCTGCCATGCTGTCTTCAAGGATCGTCTGAAGTCGGGCTTTGGTTAAGGATGTAACATTGATTGTGAGGACACGTGTCGAGGTGGATACCATGGTCTCCTCGTCCTCTGTACCTTCAGCATCTTGGGGTTCATCTCCGCCGCCTCGAAGAGGATCATGGTCAGGAGTGAAACATTCTACAGGATCTGCACGTGAGGCCCCCCCTGCCACTGCCCAGCCTTTGTTTCCACCAAAAGGCCAGTGAGGCGCGCACGCCCATCCGTGACAAGGGAGGACCTCACTTGAATACGTGAAACTTTCCACAGAAACTTGGTGAAACCCTCCATGCACCTCAGGTAACTTCAGGCACTCGTGGAGGTACATGGTGTTGCTGCAACTGGTGCTGGCGCGTGAGGCCTCCCCTGCCACTGCCCAGCCTTCGTCTTCAACGAAAGGCCAGTTAGGCACGAGGGCCCATCCGTGACAGGGGAGGAGTTCACTTGTACTCGTGAAACTTTCCACAGAAACTTGATGAGGCCCTACCTGGGTCTCAGCGTACTTCTGGCCCTCAAGGAGATACATGGTGCTGCTACAGCTTGCTTTGATACGTGGGGCCTCCCCTGTCACTGCCCAGCCTTCCTTACCAACAGGAGGCCAGTGGGGCGCAAGCGCCCATCCGTGACCGGGGAAACCCTCACTTGAACTCACGATACTTGTATCAAGAAAATGATGATGACTTCCATTCACTCTGCAGGACTTCGGCCAGTCGTGGAAGTACGCGGTGCTGCTGCAACTCGTGCTGGCAGCCTGGGGCCCACCAAGGGCCTCGGTAGACCCCCTTGAAGTTTGTCACTCAGCAGCGGCAGCAGGTCGGCGTAGCGCTGCTGCTGGTCGCCTGCGCGCCCAGCCTCTGGCACGTGTCGCCTCCCGCTTCATGGCCGCCTTCTTCCGCTCTGCAATCTTGCGCCTGTAGGCCGCGAGCGTGCGCTGCCCTGGCCTGTTGAAGTAGTCCTGCTGCCACTTCCTCAGGTACTCTTTGTTCTCTGGCTTCGCGGACCACTTCCGATGGTTGGCCAACGTCTTCTTGTAGCGTTTCGCCCAAACATCCTTGCCATGAAGTCGTTCCTTCACGTCGTTTGCCTTCATGGTACGGTCCAGCCGCTTAGTACACGGTTCAAGCTTCAATTTGGCAATCGTTCTTTGTACTCCACATCTCGTGCACGAGTAGCAAGTATCAGTTTGCCTCTTCGTCTGTCTGGCGGTCGCACTCGCTTCCAGCACATGGCAAACGTTCGGCTTAAAGTCAGGGTCGAGCTTGTCATACCACTCACAGTAGCGTAACCAAGCTCGCTGCCGTACTGCACGATTTCGCCCAGGTATAGCAAATTTACGATTTGCTTCTCCTTGAGCCTCCTTCGTCTTCCCAGGGGGTGTGATCCCGACGCAGTAACGCCAATGGACCCTTGCCTCCTGAGCTCTTTCACAAGCTTGCTCTCGAGTTGGGAGCCAACCACAGCTTGGACACTTCAAATGCGCTGACCGTGAGACATCCACCGGCGTGCATGGCTCTAAGTCCGCAGCTTCATCAGGAACAGCTTCAGCAGGGCCTGCCGCTGATGCACTTGCTCTGGACTTACGTCGTGACTTGGGCGTGACACCTAATAAGGACCTCGCCCTCTTGACCTCAGACGTGGTGGATGCAGCTGAGATTCCAAAGAAGCTCCTCGCGGCATCCTCGTCGAAGTCGTCGTCCTTGTGGCTGCTGGATGCTGCCGCGCTTTTGCCTCCTCCCGTGAAGGCATCTGGGTATGGTAGGGCCGCTTCACACCATTGCTGAGCAACTTCTTTTGTGAGCGATGCTTTGGGACGTAGCAGTTGGTAGTGCTGATCTTTCAACATGACCCATACCACTCTGCTGTACTTCTTGGGACTCGTGTAAAGGGTCCACCTGCCCCCAGCGGTATCTGGATTGAATTTCCATATCCGAATATCAACTTTTGCGGCAGTAGAAGTACACCTGATTGTGAGAGAATCAGCCATCTTTCCACACGTTCCAATTCTTTGAATATCTGCGTCCGTAGCTCCGAACTTCTGCTTGTTCTTCTTCACCTCACCCGCCACCAGGAGACGCAAAGATTGCTGGACACGTCCTCCAGGGACCAGCTCGTTGGCAGGTACGGGCTTGTGTCCAGGCTTGAGCTCGTGAAGTCCAAGGCCCACGGCTATGCAAGCACAATCACCTTGCCCTCCGTTGTCTTGTACATCACAGTGCTCCTTCCACGGTGGGTCTGGAGCTGCTGCTCTCGCTTGTTTGGCCGCTCGAGCTCCAGCAGGGGCTGCTTCGGCTGGTCGACGATTCTGTTGGTCACCTTCGGTGCCCTCAGCAGCAGCAGCAGGTGGCGCTGGAGGCGGGTCGGGGGGTGCGTCATCATCTGGCTTTTCCTCATCCTGCGTGGTGAAAGTGACCTTGGGCGGCGCTACCCCCCACGCACTCTGAGCTTTGACTCCTTGCGGTCGTTCGCGAGCCTTCCGCTGCGGTGGCTTCGCTGGTGTCACGATGACCCCGCTGCTGAAGTTGTAGGCCTTGTCATTCTGCGAGCACGCTGCAGCGAGGTCCCCACGAAAAAACCATGTGCGTCGTCCCGTACGTGTCGGCGACGTCACATTCGTCCATCCTCTTTGGATGGCCCAGGCTGAAAGATCCTCGGGCGCTGTCCACTCCGCCGGTGCACGCTGGACCGCCCACCTCGGGAGGAGATCCGATCCAACCTGCTTCTCACTGAGCACCCCAAGGGGCGCATCATCACTTGGGCGATACAAGAGGCGGCCTGTCACCGTGGCCGCTGCTGCAACCACTCTGTTCCAGTACTCGTCAATGGACTCGTCCTGCCTCTGCTTGAACCACCTCGGCATAATCTTGGACTGCTGGTAGTTGCAGAAGACCCCTTTCGGGAGCTTCTCCTCCAGGAACTTTGGTATGGCGTCGGTCTTGATGATCAGTAGCATTGCGATCTCACTTTCATAATTCAAGGCTCCCTTTGTGCGAACAATATGTTTACATAACTCAGCATTGAACACAATAGACGGGAGACTGGCTGGCTTCTGCGACGCTCGTCCGAAAACATCGTCGTCAGCAAAGTTCTTGGCGCACGTCAATCTCATCACCGTAGTGGGGGACCTCGGGGCCTGATATTCATCATCATCTTTGACTCCTTGCGGTAATCCTTGGCGCTTGGGCGCGCCATCTCCGTAGTAGTAGATCTGGCACTTGAGAGGTACTGAACCTTTCTCCCCAGATGTCAAAACTTCGTCTGCAATAGCCCCCTGGATATTCTCAGACATTGAAAAGACTATGGATGTGGCTGCTGATCCGCAAGATGCTGTGAGCCAATCATATGCTGCGTGATATTCCACCATCGTATTGCATACAATGATGGGAGGCTTCCCATTCTCATAGACTCGCTCCTTCAAGGATGGTGCCGCCCAGATAGGCACATCATTCCCCCAGTCGCTCGTCAGAATTCTAGGTATTGGCCTCGGTCCCTGCTTGGGTGTCGTGGGACTCGTGGTCGTGGTTGAGGAAGAAGCGGCGACATTCTCAGCAGCAGAATCATCTTTGCTTTTCCCACGTTTAGTAGTATCGACCCTCGGCAACATCGCACGGAGACGCTGCTGCACTTGATACTCATTCAAAGTGTAATTTCCTTTGTCATACTTATCAAGAAGCTGACGTATCTTCTGAAGTGTGGGCGGCTCGAGCTTGCGGCCCGCCTTCTTAGTATTCGGCGATGTCCCAGGCAACACTGTCCCGCTCAGTGCATTCACCGCCACCGTAATGTTTTTGATCTGCTCAGCTAGGTCATCGATGCGCTTCCCCCGTCCACGTCGAGCCCGTAGAGCGCCTTGCCCTGCACGGCCGCCTGAGTGACCTTCACCACCGCCACCCAGCAGTGGATCCGCAGCACGTCCTGGCACTGGAAGTTGAGAGTCTTGAACTTCAGCCCCGAAGATCACGACCTCATCAAGAGAGATTTGATGCCCTGCCAACGGGGCGATGTCGCTGGACTCGGCCTCGGCACGGGGTGCCGTCCCGCCACCACCACTCGGAGGTGCCCAGCATCGGATGGCTACGTTTGCCACGACGATTGCGACAAAGACAACTACGATTAGTACAAGTAGTACTACGCCGGCCACGCCGGCGACGGAAAAGGTACGGATTTGTATTGTAAGCAGTGTGCGAACAGGCGCGCGATTTTCCCATTATGTCGGGTCGCCCAGGGTGTGGCTTCCGCAAGGAATAAAAACCATATCATAAAAAAAACGGCGAATTGTACTCGGCAAATAATTCGGCCACCGACCCCCGCAACGAATTGCCAAACCAGAGCTTTGAATGGCGGTGCACCTCTAAGAACCTGCTGCACGTAGCGTGTCGCGCCGTATCCTGGTGGGCCAGAATCGGCGGAACGACACGTGAAATGAACGTTCCAGACCGTACACAGTTTAACTTGAACTACGCAGCAGAATCTGCAATACACGTGGTAGGCAGGCGGCCGATCCGGATGATCCAGGGGAAATGTGGGGTGAGCGAGAGGACCGAACCGATTGCTGCGAGCGGCGAGTTTCGGTTAAATGCGGAAGGCAATACAAACAGTGTTTTTCTAGAAATCTACGTGGTGCACTCTATGTGGTGCATTGGGATTTTACAAACGAGTTGACACACTCTACGCCTTTTCCAACATCCCACCCACCCACCGCAACTTGCGATGAGTGCACGGAGTTCGCTGGTGCATCTCCTCGGCCGCGCTAACCCGCGCACGCTCGCGCGCACAACGGCCAGCTGGTCCGGCGCGACCGACGCGGCCGCGGTGGCGCTGACCGCTGGGCACTTCCCAGCGGGCGCTTCAGTGCGAGTCGGTGACTTGGGCGGGCGCGGTTTCATGGCGACGCCGACAACGGTTGACACGATTATAAGACAAGCGATGGTGGTGCCGACGGTGGCGATGCCGACGGCAAGGGCAATGACGGCGCCGACGTTGATCACGCCCACCGATAACGATGACGATGTCCTCGCGCCAATGATGGAGTTCGACATGCGCGTGCGGCCGACGCGCGCGACTGGCCCGAGTGGAATTGTTTGGCACGGATCGTGCTCCCCCCCCCAGCACGAGCGCAAGGGCGTTCGAATGAACTGGACATGAGGCGCGAGAGGCCCGTGTAGCAGAATGTGATGAACGTGTCTGAGAATCGATGTTTCTATATATATATAGATATCAAACAGAGAAAGAATCCCGAAAAAACGCGAGAGCAGGATTGTTGGAAACCGGGTGTTACAAAATCGTGTGCTTTGATGTGGTGTCTGGACATTATTTTTTGAAATCCTTGCAATACGGCGGCAACGCGCGGCAGCGCGCGCGCGCCCACGCCGCCCCGTCATGTCGCAAAGGATTATTGCGACATCACGCTCGCAAGGGCGTTCGGATGATTTCGACATGCGCGCGCGAAGCCCGTTTGGAAGCTCCTTCTTATAAAGAATGAAGAATATGTGGTTGTCCTGTGAATTCTGAAGAGCGCGCGCAGGCTTTGTTTGAAACTCACTGTTGCAAAACAGTGCGCTGCTTTTAAGAAGTTGCTCGGGTACTCAATTTTGAAGTCCTTACGCAAACCACAATTTTTTTGCAGGGTTGCAGCATGCGCGCGCGTCGACGCGAGCGCGTGCACTTCGCTCCATGTGTCGCAAGGGGTTAGATGAGAAGCCACTCGTGAATGCTGATCAACGCTTGCGCGCGCATAATATCATGTGCAGAGGATGAGGGGGAGGTCAAATGCAACTGCCCAAACGAAAAGGCGCGCCGTCAACTGGGGGGGGGGGGAGGGAGGAGGGGATCCTGGGATTCTTTTAAGAGGGATAATCAAAGTGTGAAGAACTTGGAGCACCCGCGACGCGGTGCAACGTGGCGCAATGTTCGCCAGCGTGGGCCCCGAACAGCGCGATTCTTCCAACGCGCGTTGTGCAGTCAATGTGGGGCAAACTACGCGGTGCAACCTGCGTGGTGCACTCTATGTTGCGAAACCGACGTGGCGCAGTCCATGTTGTGCAATCTATATTGCGCAATATCGGCGGGGCAATTTAGGTTCGGCAATAACGGCAACAGGCGGTCCACCGCCATATCGGGCGAAGAAGCTCAAATACAACAAAACTTTAAACAACATCTGAGCCAAAATCTGCGGAAATCTCATACTCGAATACAGCTTCAACCAAATTCTAAACCAAAACCTTTTTTTTTTTTTTTAAAAAAAAAAAAAAAAAAAAAAAAAAAAAAAAAAAACGTTGTGTTTTTTTTTGAAACAAAAAAGAAAAACACGTCAACACATCTCGAAGCCAACACCTGCGAAACTCTCAGACTTATGTGTAAAACAACATCTGAACCAAAACCTGCGAAAACCTCAAATGTTAAAACAACTCTTTTTAAATGAAAGAACTCGAAGCCGAAACCTGGGGAAATCTCAAACCTATTCTAAAACAAAGAATAAAACCGGAACTCTTAAGTTATTCTGAAAGCACCCATCAAAACAACTTAAATAAACTTTAGAACGACTCTAAACGCCTAACATCTGCAAAAGCATCAAGTTACAACAAATCTGAACCACGTCTAAGCGCATACAACTCTAAAACAAACTCTCAATGACAATTTTCTATAAAAAAAACACCACAACTCGCAACACATTTCTGACCACCTGGCGAACTGAACAAAAAAACTGTGGAACGCACTTGTTTTAATTACCCTGTGGCGTACCCAACCCTTTCTATACATGTGGCGGGTATATCCAGGACCATTCAATGCTGACTGGCATTCTGAAGGACCCGCAGTGCGCAAGAAGAGCACCCAATAGTGATTTCAGAAGAGTGCAGCAAGAAGAGGAACGGCAACTATACAACATGGAAACACAGGGTTGTTGAAAGAAACGCGTGTGACGCACCTCCGAATGATCCACGTGGGACATACCTCCGCTGGGCCTCCCACGAGCCCACGAAAGTGGCGACAGTTGCGCTGATCGCAAGCCGCCCAGGGGGCGGCGAGGTCCCGAGGTGATCCGCGTGGGACCCACCTCCGCTGGGCCTCCCAGGAGCCCACGAAAGCGGCAACAATTGCGAAAATCGCAAGCCCCCCAGGGGCGGCGAGGTCCCGAGGTGATTCGCGTGGGACCCACCTCCGCTGGGCCTCCCAGGAGCCCACGAAAGTGGCGACAGATGCGCTGATCGCGAGCCCCCCAGGGGGCGGCGAGGTCCCGAGGTGATCCGCGTCGGACCCACCTCCGCTTTGCCTCCCAGGCGCCCGCGAAAGTGGCGACAATTGCGCAGATCGCAAGC